AAGGTAAGATGGATACGGGGGTCTGGGTCAGGAAGTGGGGGGCAGGTGATGGACAGAATCTGGACTTTGTGTGAACAAGCCCTTAAGACCAGATGATTGTCAACACCTGACCATCACACTTACATGGGTTTGTAGAGCATCCCATTCCAAAACCATGGCCGTAAATATAGAGTTGCCCTTCCTTCCTTTTTAGCCATGCCCATAAATATGGAGTTGCCTCTTCTTCCTTCCATTTTAGCTAGAACAGTCTTCACCCCTCTGAGAAGGGTTTCCACAAGATTTTGAAATTTGTCAGTGGAAATTGGTGCCCATTCAGCCAAAAGAGCATTGGGGAGGTCAAGTTGACCACTCAAGTTCCTTTACACCAAACTCCTCAAACCATGTTTTATGGAGCTGGATTTGTATGCAGAGGCAGAAAAGGGCCTTCCCCAAACTGTTACCATAGGACTGAAAGCATACAATTGTCTAAAATGTTGTTCTATGCTGTAGCAGTAACAATAACTACCACTGGAATTATTTGAACTTAATATTTGGGGGGATGTCCAGCTTTGGCCTCATCACAATTGCCCTGGTTGGGTGTTCACAAACTTTTGGCTGTATAGATATGCTGTACGGGGTTGCAATCATGTTTGCTCTGGTCTTCCCACAAAATAGTTACTTGTTACCACTACATTGAGATTTGACAGCTGGTGCTACAGATGAGGAGTTTGTCTCGGATCCAAGCACCTGCACTTTTTTGTGTTGGCACTTCAAACACCTACTTATGTCAATTCTTTTTATGTGAGAGCTTCATTGAGATTTTTAGGGATTGTTTTGTGGGTAGATCCCACATACTGTGCTAGGGGCTGGGAGTATTTCATAATTCTGACAACAAATATCACAAATGCTAATATACATTCAAGGGTAAGCTAGACTGTTAAAAGAAAACTTTACACAAAACAGCAGTAATGTTACCATGGAAGATCATTTCATACTGTATTATCTAAATCACAAAATACACCAGATTATCTTTTCCCATATGTCATTCAAGCCATGAGATCAAAGTCCTTTTACCCGATTTGGGTTATGTCATTAAATTTGCTACCTAGAAGGAATTTAATAGCATTACGACACACACACGCACACCATAATTCCCTTTTTACATTTTTGGGGGACACCCGAAAACCATATTGATATGATTGTGTTAATGTTACAAGTGCCTTCAATGTTATAGGATCATGTACAATATTATTATTAAAATGAAGAATGTTCCAAACACTGACATTTATATTGGTATGTTTTAATGCTGAGATATGTTCATTGTTATATACAAGGTGAACAAAGAGGCTATTGCTGCACTGTAGAAAATATTGTCTGTAAGGGTTAGATCATTAAAGCAGAACTCTGGGGAAAATACATTCTTAACCCTTGCAGTGGGTCTACCCCCGCACTGCAAGGGTTACGTGCTTGTTCATGTCTAGGTTAAAAAGTCATACTTACCTGATCCTGAGAGCCACCTGCTCTCCCTCTGCTGCAGCTGTTTAAGGATTCCTGAGTCATCAAATGAGGACGTCAAGGGACATACGATCGGTGTAGCGGAGGATGAGACAGGCTGGAGGGAGCGCTGTTACAGCTGGTCAGATCCAAGGTTTGGTTGAGTTAGTATATATGGCAGGGACCGGTCTAAGTACATAACCCTTGCAGTGCAGGGGTAGCCCACTGCAAGGGTTAAGAATTATTTTCTCCAGGAGTTCTGCTCTACATCGTCATTTCTCTCTGTGGACCTCAGTAAATCTCTTCCTATGTTATGGAGATGAGGTGGTGTTCTACAGTCCTAACATACTTCCTGTCATAGGGTGACGACACTGCTCCTCCATAGATACAGTGCAGTAAGAGTTATCACTTAGGACAGGAAGTGTGTTACGGACATATTTGTTTTGGGCAGCAAAGGTAGAGCTGTCTTGTACCACGCTTGGATTAGATGTTTGAATGATGGCTTGGACCTTTTTTTGCTGAAGTGCAGATTGAGTTCCAAGTGCAGAATCCTCGAGCAACCATTTTAAAAACTGTCTTTCACTGGTCTTTCTGAACTTAACTTTGAAACTTGATTGGTTCTTAGAAACAGCAGTTTTTCTAACATTACATATTAATACTGCATATGTACTTATGATATTAATGATGCCAACATGTCAGCTAGGATTACATTATTCCTATTCTGCAAATAACTGGCCCATTTATAGGTACAAGTAACTCCAACATAAGATTTGTATGTATCATAATATCTGTATCATAATTGGCTGCAAGAATTGACCCACATGGTAGTAATAAATGGGTCATTTTCCAATTGGGAAAAAGTGGGGAGTGGGGTGCCCCAGGGTTCAGTCCTGGGACTGATCCTGTTTATCTTAATCATTAACGACATAGAGGGGGGAATAAATAGTTTGATTTCATTTTTTGCGGATGATGCTAAACTGTGTAGGGGAGTAAATTCCGAAAAGGGGATACAACTTGAGGGGTGCTACATTAGGGAAATCAGACATGGAAAAGACCTGGGGATGCTCATAGATCACAGATTTGGCAATAGTAAACAATGCCAAGCAGTGACCAGCAAAACAAACAGGATGCTGTCCTGCATTAAAATAGGGATTGTAGCAAGGGATAAGAGAGTAATACTTCCACTTTATAAATTACTGGTTCGGCCTCATCTTGAGTATGCGGTACAATTTTGGTCGCCAACTGTCTGGAAAAACGTCCTAGAAATGGAGAGAGTTCAGAGAAGGGCTACAAGATTAATTAAAGGGACAGAAGGCTTGAGCTATGAAGACCACCTTAAAAAAAATTAAACTTATTCTCCTTAGAAAAGAGGTGATTACAAGGGGACCTTATTGCAGTCTTCAAAACCATTAACGGGGACCACAATATTCGAAACAAGTTGTTTAGACCAAGAACTGCATCGAGAACACGCGGACATAATAAGAGGTTAGAAGAGAGGGGAATCGATCTAAAGCTGGCCATACACCATATAGATCTGCAGATTTTCTGTGGTCAGGTGGAAAAAGTGCAACAGATTCCTCCATCTACGCTAAACTGTGTGGATGGAGGAATCTCCCACTGGGCCACGTTTCAGTACCTTGCTAGCTGGCTCTCAAAATACCTGAACAATGCCTGCATACAATCAGATTGCTCAGGTATTTTTAGCATAGATGGAGAAATCTGTTGCACTTTTTCCATTTGACCATAGACAATCTACAGTAAAGCTATAGGTGTATGGCCAGCTTTGGGGGTCAGTAAAGGGTTTTTTTTACTGTGAGAGTAGGAAAACGGGGATATGGGAAATGTTAGAACTATATGCACTGAGTGGCCAGTTTATTATGACCACCTGACATTTGTAGGCTAATTAGCTATAATTTTGCGCTGAAGTTGCTAGAGGGCCAGACCATTATAAATAGGGAAGCAGGTTGTTTACCACGACAGTAGAAGTGATTTTTTTCTGAAGATATTGATAAACGCGATGATAGCTATAGATCTATATATATGTATTTCTATATATCTATAGAGATATATAACATATAGGTTGAGTCCATCCATAGGATGGACTCTTGTCTTTAGTCACTCTCACCTACTGTATACTTTGTTATATCTTCTATGTTATATTACTATGTATCCAGTACGATATTGGTCAGGTAAAAAAAACATCCGGTCATACAATACCTATCCTTAGTAAGGGATGTTGGATTCTGTGCTTTGAATGAAATGTCTTTAATATATGTATTTACCATTTAATTTGTAGTGTTTCCTCTTTGGCTTCAATGTTCAGCGTGATTCCCACAATCTGCTTTGGCTTTCAGGTAAATGGCAAGAACTAACAGCTGGGCTTTGTTATGTACAATTTGTGTCCTGACATAATACTGTGCTGAATATGGCTTCTAACTTCTGGTCCTGGTCCTCACGTTTGATAACAGTATTCAATAAGAGCACAACTGGATTTCCCAGTAGGCATATCCCTAAAGAGTAGGTAACGCTATAACAATGCTATATTAACTTAGGGGGTTTTTCACTATGGAGCTGAAGGATACTGCCGTAGCTTCCGCTGATCCTTCAGCTCTCTTCGGCTGCCTCTGCCCTTCGGTTCAGTCAAAATTAAGGGCTGTTATAAGGGCTATTCACAATAGCCCATACAGCACCCGAAGGAAGCCGAGCGGTTCAGCCGAGCAGAAGGCTGTCACTTCGACTGAGCCGAAGTGACAGCCAAAACGTGGAGAAAGGTCGGCCAAAGCCGTGCAGTGCATGTCAGGCTGACCGAAGGCAGCCGATGTACGGCTGATTTTAGCCTATTTCCTGCAGCCACTTCCCGTCTACATGCACTCACTCCAGCGGCAGCTGTGTGTTCATGGCTTGATGATGGTTACAACTGCAGAACACGCTGCACATTGGGTGACCGCACAGCTGCTTATACACTTCATTGGGAAAATATGTGGCAGGATGATAGCGCAGGAGGTTAATTGGGAGACGGAGCATTGCCACTCCGTAAGAGTAAATGCCTTATCAAGGATCCAAATGGCCAACTCGTATTATTTTTATAAAAACTGCAGATTTAAAATGAACAAAAAGGACTTGCATTACCATCTTAGGTATTATATAAGATTTAAGTGATTGTGTTTCGATTTACTTTAAGACTCCTTCATTTTATGCCGTTCAAAGAAACATTATGATTAGGTTTTATAATTGCTGTTCCGTTTGTTCTTTCTAGTGCTATGCATGGTTAGCAATATATTTATATTTCCATGTTTGGATCTCAGCAAATCCGTATTCAGCAAAATTTAGTCAGTAAAAAAAAAGAAGCTTTCAGTAAGTAAGGTTTATATGGAGTGACTGCCTATTAGCGGCGTAACTGCTGTGTAAAGCCAACAGCAATCCCATCTTTCAGCTTTTATGCCTTGAAAGAGGGACATACCAATTGGTATGACATAAATGTCTGTTTTTGTCTTTCAGTGCCATGAAGCTTGTATCACGATTTACAGCAGCATGAGGAACAAGTGCCTGTCTAATTGGGTTGCCGTGTCTGTGGTGTCTATGCTGATCTGCCTTTTAATTTATTCTCTGACAGGTAGAAAAATGCAGCTTCCTTTTAAACCATATCGCATGCAGGGCCGGATTTCCCACAAGTCCAACCAAGGCCCGGCCTTGGGGCAGCAGGGAGTAGAGGGGCAGCAGGGAGTAAAGGGGCAGCAGGGTTGTGGAATCCCTATCTCCCAATGCCCGGGACATGCAGTTCCGGGTGGGTAGTTGTTTTCTACATACAGCCCTGCTTTGGGCAAGCAGAGCTAAATGTACAGCGGGAAAGCCGCCACTTGTTTTGCACAAGTGATCTCAGTGATTTTGCCGAGATCACTTGTATGCAGCCTGCAGGTCTGCCATTCTCCATGGGGGGTTGGCGTGTAGGGGAGCGAATTGAGGAACCTGGCCTTGGGGCAGCAGAGAGAGTTAATACGGCTCTGATCACATGTACAGGCTTATTCCAAAAGGCAGTATGTTAATTCAGAGAGCCCATTCTAATTTAAAATTTTTGTAGTCTAATTGTATTCAATCCCGATTCCAAAAAAGTTGGGACGCTGTATAAAATCTAAATAAAAACAGAATGGAATGATTTGCACATCTAATAAACCCAGATTTTATTAACAATATTAAATATATGAATAATGTAACTGAGAAAATGTACAACTTTAAGAAAAAAATCAGGTAGTTTTGAAAGTGATGTTTTTAAAAAGTTGGGACAGGGCCAGGTTTACCATGGTGTAGCATCCCCTCTTCTTTTAATAACACTTTGGAACAGTAAGGATGGAGAAATATCCCTAAAGGAAATCCAGATGGCAATTAACAGCAGAAGTCCTAACACTTCTTCTCTACTGCACGCAACACTGACAAAATAAATCTAATGCTTGGCTGGAATTCCACATCAAAAAAACATTTTGAATGGACTAAGATGGTGGCTTTCTTTGCCTGTCCCATACCACAAAGGATCACAACAGCAGCATTTGAATGTTGCCCTTTATGAAGTTGTTGTGGGTTCCAGAGTTTAGCCTGTTCCCAACACTGATTGACACATTTTTCCCCCTTCCAGGTATTTATGGGTACCTGACGTTTGGAGAAGGTGTAGCAGCTGATATTCTGATGTCTTACCCTGGGAATGATGTGGTTGTAATAATAGCCAGGCTACTGTTTGCTATCTCAATCATCACCATCTATCCAATCATACTGTTACTGGGAAGGTAAGTGCCTAATGAGAACCTACAGGAAAAATGTGAATACTGTGAACTGATGTTCTCTGGGATGCACTTCGAAAACATAAAATGTATGATTTACTTACATAGTATTTAAGGTTGAATAGACACAGGTCCATCAAGCTCAACCTTTGTGTGTGTTGTGCATGCATTTGTGTGTGTGTGTGTGTGTATAAACGAATCCCTGTGTGGTCTTAGTTTTTAAGAGTACCTGTACCCCTGTATGTTATGGTCTCTTAGGACAGTATCTAATTCATTTTTGAATGAATCAATATTCTTTGCTGATACCACTGCTTGTGGCAGAGTTCCAAAATTTAACCACACTGACAGAAAAGAATCCCCTACGCCCTTTGTGGATAAATCTTTTCTCCACCAATTTTAGTGGTGGCCTCTAGTCATTGTTAGGGAGTTTACAGTAAAAAGTTTATTGCTGATGTTGCCATCACCACCAAACATTTTGTATATCAAAATCATGTCCCCTCTTAATCTTCTCACTTCCAGTGTGAACAAATTAAAATTTAGCAACCTTGTCTCATAGCTTTGATCCTCCAGCTCATTAATTAGTTTTCTTACCCTTCTCTGCACTCTCACTACCTCAAGGACATTCTTTCTGTGGATTGGTGACCAAAATTGAACCGCATACTCAAGATGAGTGGCAAAATTATTGCTTTGCCTCTACAGTACATTCTCTTTTTAATGCATGACAGTACTCTGTTAGCTTTGTTTGCCGCAGCCTGGCATTGCAAGCTGTTATTCAATCTGTGGTCAACTATGACCCCCAAATCTTTTTCCATTTCTGACTTCCCTAGTGGAGTTCCCATTTAATGTATAGCCCACTTGCCTATTTTTAACCCCAAAATGCATTACTTTACATTTTTCAACATTAAACCTCATCTGCCATATAGTTGCCCACTCCCCTATTTTATTCAGGTCCTCCTGTAATGTTATAATATCTAAGCCCATGTCTATTTACCCTCCCAATTTTAGTATAGTCTGCAAACACAGAAACATGGCTATTAACACCTTCCCCAATATCATTAATAGGTTAAATAGTATTGGGCCTTGGACAGAACACTGGGGCATGCCACTCATTTCTGTAGCCCATTGTGAAAAAGAACCATTGATCATTACTCTCTGGACACGCTACTGTAGCCAGTTCTCTATCCATGTACACACCATTTCATCTATGCCCATAGATTTAAGCTTGTGTGTTAAGCATTTATGTGGTACTGTGTCAAATGCTTTTGCAAAATCTAGGTACACCACATCCACTGGCTTTCCTCTATACTTGGCTTACCTTTTGTGATGGTAGGGCTTAGAATGTACACTTGGTTTCTGAGATCTGAAATGTTTCTCCTATCTTCCCTGCCAACCTATATCCATAGCTCTTCTGCTACCTGTCCTTGATTTAGACATACGTTAAGATCAATTACCATATTGCTACAGTCGACACTGCCAGGTATCGTGAAGAGAGGTCATCTGGAAAGGGGTCTATGAAAAGTTTGCTAAGAGGTCCAATTATTATAAGTTATTTTCATGCATGCAGATCTACCCCAGGGCCTATGGGCCTGGAAGTGATTGCCATCCCTGTGCCTGTTGGTAACTATTGCATAATGTTTCTCTGTTCCACAGGTCTGTCCTGCAAGAGGTCTGGATGGACCACAAACAGATGACTGTATATGTGGCTGCTTCTTATGAGCGCTTTGTACGGGTTACACTGACAGTATTATGGATTCTGGTAACTCTCATCATTGCCTTGTTTGTTCCTGACATCAGTGAGATAATTTCCATCATTGGAGGAATAAGTGCTTTCTTCATCTTCATCTTCCCAGGTCAGCTACTGTATTTGATACTTTTTTTGTTAAAGGTTGCTAAACAATATCTAACAGCTTTCAATTGATTTGGAGCTCACTGGGTACAATACAAATCCTTGTTCTTCTGCTGTCAGTTGTATACATGTCTAGTCCTTGACTGCCATGATCCTCACACACTCCTAGGATTTGTATCAATAAAGGACAGCTGTACTGAGAGAAAGAGGTGAGCTGCCACTGTTGATATCCTTCTGGAGCAGCTTGTTGCTTGGATATGTCTGGGCTCTATACTTTGAGTCCCAAAACTGTAAAAAGCATGCACCAAGTGTGTGTTACCCTCATGAAGGAAAGGTCAACAATGGTGGCGCCAATGCTTCTCTCGGAACAGTTTTTTTTCAACTTGAATTATAAACTTAAACATTTTAGGTAGGGTGGGGAAGGGTTTGAGTAAGATTTTGTCTCGGTAAACACAATATAACTTTCCTACACTGACAGCTCCATGGGATCAAATTTATGTACAGTAGCTCTTGGTTATGCTGTCCATCTTTTCCTGGTATCCCCGACAGTGCAACAGATTGGCTGTGTGTGAATATGAAGATGTATGTACTCTAGTAAATATCATTTTATTCATCCTTTTGTAGGGCTGTGTCTGATATGTGCAATGGAATGTGAAGCAATGGATCCAAGGAAAAAGTGAGTCATCCTGTCCAACATATGCAAGTGTGTGTGTGTGTGTGTGTGTGTGTGTGTAATATATGTATGTGTATTTGTTGTAGATGTTTAGAGGGATGTGTCATATCTCTAGAAACACTTGCCAGCCTAGATTTAGGGGCATTCACCATACAGTCACTGGGAAATTCATTGCATTTATAATGTCATGACTGAGCTGCTGGCAAATATTCTACCCAGTGAATGCTTAAAGTACATTAGCAGCTTTCATCGGAATGTGTTGCTAGCACTTCTTACAGTGTCCCTGCCCCTTTATGGCATTTATTGTCATGGCTATCCGTCAAATAAAGATACCCTTTCCAAAGTACCCTGTCTAATGCAAGCAGGCACGCTTGGGAGGCCCCATGGGAGGCATTTGGGTTTCCAACCCATCTCTAGTTATCCCATAAAGGCATCCTTAGCACCCCTTACCAATTTTAGTGGTTGCAGTTTTTTTTGTGTTAATTTAATAATTAAAAAAAATATCAAGTGATGTCCATCTGTTGAATCTTTTCTTTATTGGTAGGACACCTTTGACTGAGATAAGTGAGCCTATACTTTGGTAAAAGTATAATCATCTACTATATGGTGAAATATGGCTACAGTGGCAGCTGGCAATCACCCATAGTCTGTAATCTAGGCTTGCATCAGCCTCTCCTTATGTCTTTGCAGATGGTGTCTAATCGCCTGGGGGATCATTTCTGTTTTATGTGGAGCCTTCATATTTGGTCAGAGTACGACCATCGCCGTTATGGAACTCTTGCACAAGTTCTGAAATGTGTTGGATTTTCATTTTGAACTTTTTATTATTTTTATTTAAATTATCTTTTTAACGATTAAATGATTTTATTTCCAAAAATCTTTGGGTGACACAGTTTTTACACAATTATAACTAGACAAATTGGAGTAAATGATCTTTGACTCTGCAAGCTGTTTATTGCACTACGAGTGCTTTTCACACACAAATTGGAATGAACATAACATGGCCTGTAGCTGTATCTTCATAATTCTGCTGCAGGTCAGAAGGCAAAGCAAACCTCTAAATGCAGGATTTGTCATTTTGCTTTAAGTGCACCTATCCCAATGGGCCCTTATATATAGCACACCTGTAATTTACCAGTGATATATAACTGTGTGAAGGCAGATGCTAGGAGAATTACACACTTGCTTTTGCTTATTTTTGTGATTTAAGGTTTTAAACGACAACTGCGCCTTTGTGTAATGTGTCTCTAGTACTCCCTCCCATACTTCTTTGCCTCAGCATCGAATACTTTAATAAAATACAGGACTATTAAAAGCCAATGTAACAAAAGTTTGACACCCAGCTGGGCCTGCTTGCACTAAGTTTTTTTTTTTCCACTTACCTGTGGCATGGGAGAGCAGCGGCGAGTCAGCGCTGGTCCGGTGGGAGGAGCTCCAGGTGGGGTCCTAATTTAGCTGGCCGGCGACCGCCAGAGGTGCCGCGCGTGTCGGGATCCCCTCGCTGACTCGCCGCTGCTCTCCCGCACCGAAGGTAAGTGACAAAAAAAAAACA